TCTTGTTTAGCCATCCTTTTACCGATTTGAACATAGGATGTGCATACCAAAAATGATATTTTTCTGGCTTTGAATATGTCCTTCACATAAAGACTAATAGTGGATTCATTGAAGTTGGCTATGAACCAAATTTAATTGAGCTGGGATCTTGAGCCACCGACACAAAGAGGACGACTCACCTGGTTGGCTCATCAAACGTCCTAACGACAGCTACACTCATTCAACACGTCTGGTCAGCTCAGCAACCCAATCAGACGTACTTACGAGATAAAGACATTCAGCTGTCGGTGGTTCTAAAATATAAAGTAGAACAGGTTAGCCTTTTTCGTGCTAACATGTTTTGAGTCTATCAAGAGTTCTTGAACAAGAACCTAATCACCCTTGCTCGATTGCGGTGATTTAAGGGTAGTTAGATGAGTTTTCGTGCAATCATATTAAACCTTGCGATTCTATTAAATTTCACTTTTGCCTCCCAAATGTATGCCACATCTAGTATTGCATTTTTTTTACTTTCACACGAAATTAAGGTCTCTATGACTATTCCACCTTTACTCTATAAACAAGCAAATGAGTAAAGGTAAGCGAGATAACTTTGGAGCTAAAGTCTATTTTACGTCTTTAGTAGTCATAACGGAAGTGAATAGAGCGGCAAGTTTACAGCCATCTTATTTTGTTTATGTCACAGCAACCAATCCATTCATCATGACCAGTCGCCCAGGCCCAGTCTCTGCCCCTTTTGCCGTCTGCGCCAGAAACAATTCTCCTTCGCTGTCGCTGTGCCCCCAGCGAGTGGTCTACTGCCTGGCCTGTCGAGCTGCTGTACCGAATGCCTGGGCATTGCTTCGTCACTTGGAGACTCAACATTCCATGCGGTTGTACACTATGCATCCGCTCTCTGAGGAGCCGGCGAATCAAAATCCTACCAATGAACAAGAGGAATTAGGCCCATACGAGGCAGGCGAGGAAAAGGAAGAGGAGGAAAATATTGACAGACAGTGTGGCAACAATGGCAATGATGGGGAAGAGGGAATAAAAAAGGAGGAAATGATAATAAGGAAAAGAGAGCACAGCCTTGTTCAGGATGAGAAGCGGACGAGCCATGATTTATACGAAATAGATGAGAATCCAGTGAGTAAAAAAGTATTAATTAATGCATGAGTCTGGAAAAGCTAGGCGTCTAAGAAATTTAATTGTACTGCTACAATAATTTAAGCACAATGTTTCGCTCATTCTTACATCATTTGATATATTAACAATTGGAAGTATTTCTCATTTATCCTTAGGTATGCTTATTTTAATAGACTTGTGATTCCTCTGTTGGAAGAGAAGAGAAGAGAAGAGGAGAGGAGAGGATAGAACAGAAGAGAACAAAAGAGAACAG